TAACTACTCGTACGTACTAGTCGAGTAGTAACGTTAGGTAGTAGGTGGTAGTAGAGAGTAGGACGAAGTACTACTATTCTATTACGTTTATTAGTGTTGTTAGTATCTTCTATATATATATATATATATATATATATATATAATGATATATATTGCTATAACTCCAAAAAAATAGAAACACAACTGCAATGAAATAAACGACTGTGATGCACGATGGGTCCCACCACCTCAAGCAGAAGAATATTTGGATTTGACTTAAGCTATATTAGTCGTTCACACTATCGACTACCATTACATCTCCCAAACCAACAATCAATACCTCTCAGCATAGATGAGCAGCTATCTAATATATTAGGCAATCCAAAGATACATCAGACCAAATTAACAATGTTCTTTGAGACAGACAGATAAATTTTATTATTTTATATTTCAGAATATTATATGATCTTTTATGTTAAGAATACAAACAAATATGCTCAACGAACTAAAGGAGAAACTTTATTAACGAAATCGAGGGTTTTTAAAATTGTTGCAGATTAGGAATAGACGGGAATCGAATTAGTTCCGTTACAGACCTAGAGAATTGGGCCAGTTCTCACAAATTCGTCTAGTCTCCCAATAGATTGGGCCAAGGTGATCTAGAATGGCCAAATTATTGGATTATCTTCCTTACAAAGCCTAGATTACTAATTTAAAAATGTTTATACGTAGGTCGTTAAGATGGGTGTGATTTGTATAAGGCCGAGGCCCTAATCAATCAAAATAAGACTCACGTTTCAAATAGTGTCAAAACAATTGTTTCAGTATTAGAAATGGTCTGAAAATTTATTTTCTTTTCTAGATATAAAATTTAAAAATTCAAAAATAGTATAGATCATGTAGACTTATGAACACTTGAGAATCTTGTGGTCCAGATAATACGTTACAAGATGCAGTATTTCCAATACTTGAAATCTACTTTTTGTTATATCAATCTTGAGGTTGAGACGATTGAATTGGGGATTTTTTAGCATCGAAATAACCTCTTCTAGTGAATTTTTAAAGTGTGCTTTAATTCGATTTGTTTAGGGCCTCACCATTAGATGAACTTTTTCCTGTTATGATTCCTCAATCGGTTTAAGAATTATTGAATGTTTACTTTACCTTACCATATGATATGGGCTTTGCTTCCCTTACTGTTTCTTTCCGATGTTATTATATAGAAGGTTGCAAGCCAGACCATTGACTCTGCTAGTACGAGGAGCTAGAGAAGAAGGCCAGGCCCATCAAAGGTAAATGTCCTTTTGACTGTTTTCGTTTCTAAAACTATCAAATAAATTGTGAATATCATTGGGGTACTCTGGGAAAGCGCTTGCATAGAATCTCACCATTTAATCAATTGCAATCAATGGTTTAAAAAACGGATCGGTGACCCGGATCGGGTATTCAAAAAACCGATCCGGATCGGCGAATCGGCAATCCGGATCGAAAATCGGGTGAATCGGTCAGAATAAAGCTTAAAAAAAATCCGAAAAAATTATTAAAATTTATTATAAATATTGTTTTTTAGGAATTCAATAAGAAATGAGGGTACTCCATTAAGAATTTTCATGTTTTTGAATGAATATGCGAATATTGATATGTTCTTTCCCTGCATAAACCGCCATTCAGCATTTAATTTACATCACACAAAAGGATAAACATAGAATTATCATGGAATAAGTATACCAACATACATGGGCTACAATAAAGCATAAAATTAGTAACATATGATCTAAAAATAAAATGATAGACGACGTTATTGTTCTTCTTGGTCACGCTGGTGCCATTGATTGAATTCGTTTAACAATTCATTGATTCAATCTAAAAACGAATCATCGATATTAGCAAGCGTCTGACTATTCCCAAATCCCTGAGTGTTAGTGTTTTGTTGTGTTCCCAATCCAAAATCCCCGAAGCTTATCCATCCTTCCTGTTCACCTGCACTTTCGTGCTCATCCCTACACTGTTGCTGTTGGGACTCGATATGTGAATAATATGGTTGGTATAGGGTGGCCTCAGAATCATTATTTCTCTCATTTTCTCTTTGAATAATATGGATTAAAAAAAAAATTTAACAAATTTTCAAAAAAATCGATCATGGATTAAAAAACAAAAATCACAAATTTTCAAAAAATTCTATCATGGATTACAAAAAAAAATTTGATCATGGATTAAAAAAAAAAAATCACAAATTTTCAAAAAATTCTATCATGGATTACAAAAAAAAATTCAATCATCGATTAAAAAAAAAAAATCACAAATTTTCAAAAAATTCAATCATGTATTACAAAAAATTCGATCATGGATTAGAAAAAATTCGATCATGGATTACAAAAAATTCGATCATGGATTACATAAAATTCAATCATGGATTACAAAAAAAAAAAA